TATCTTGGAGTTATGATCCAGTAATGTTTTGAGAGACTCTCTTGCTTTGTCAGTTCTAGTTGGTGCTCTGTTTCTAAGTCTTATTTATGTAATCTTTACAGTTTCTGAATTTCTTGAATCAGATTTTGAATATAGATGTTATGTACCTTTCCTGGTGTTTCCTCCAAGATATCTATTTCTCCCTTTTCACCTTCTTGTGGACTTCTCATATAACAGCGGATGAAGACTATGGCATACTGTTTTCTTTGAAAAATATGGTGATATCTATTTCAAGTGCAGTTTTATCATAGGGTCTGCTATTAGGGAGTCATTCAATCTCTAGCTAAACTGATAAAGAGAAATGCCAGTAAAGAACAGACTGGCCACAACTGGAGTATTTTAATGGCATCCCAGTCTTAGTTCATAGAGTTCAATATTGAGATGGCCTACCCTTTGCAGCTATAACAGCTTCAACTCTTCTGGGAAGGCTTTCCACAAGGTTTAGGAGTGTGTCTATGGGAATGTTTGACCATTCTTCCAGAAGTGCATTTGTGAGGTCAGGCAGTGATGTCGGACAAGAAGGCCTGGCTCTCATTCTTTGCTCTAATTCATCCCAAAGGTGTTCTATTGGGTTGAGGTCAGACCAGTCAAGTTCCTCTACCCCAAACTCACTCATCCATGTCTTTATGGACCTTGATTTTTGCACTGGTGCGCAGTCATGTTTGAACAGGAAGGGGCCATTCCCAAACCTGTTCCCACAAAGTTGGAAGCATGAAATTGTCGCAAATGCCTTGGTATGCTGATGCCTTAAGAGTTCCAACCCCTGAAAAACAACCCTGCACCATAATCACCCTTCCACCAAACTTTACACTTGACACAATGTAGTTAGGCAAGTACCCTTCTCCTGGCAACAGCCAAACCCAAACATGTCCATCAGATTTCCAAACAGAGAAGCATGATTGGTCACTCCAGAGAACATGTCTCCACTGCTTTAGAGTCCAGTGGCGGTGTGCTTTACACCACTGCATCCGAGGTATTGCATTGAGCTTGGTGATGTAAGGCTTGGATGCAGCTGCTTGGCCATGGAAACCCATTATAAGAAGCTCTCTATGCACTGTTGTGCTAATCTGAAGGCCACATGAAGTTTGGAGATCTTTAGATATTGACTCTGCAGATAGCTGGCGACTCCTGCACACTTTGCTCTTCAGCATGCACTGACCCCGCTCTGTCATTTTTATGTGGCCGACCACTTTGTGGCTGAATTTCTGTTGTTCCCAGTTGCTTCCAATTTGTTATATATTTAGTAGCAAGGAAATTTCATGGATGGACTTATTGCACAGGTGCAAACTATCACCGTACCACACTTTAATTCACTGAGATCCTGACAGCAACCAATTCTTTCACAAATGTTTGTAGAAGCAGTCTGCATGTTTAGGTGCTTGATTTTATACACCTGTGGTCTGTGGTCATGGAGGTGATCGGAACACCTGAATCCAATGATCTGGAGGGGTGTCCAAATACTTTTGGCAATATAGTGTATGCATATGAAAGATGGCTGTCTAAAAATTCATATTCTAAAAGGGTAACATCCTGAAAGTCGTGAGTTTTATAATAAAATGAAAAAATTCCTGCAATTAGGGTGTTGTATGTACCAGTCATCTATCAGGTAAATGTTATGAAGGGTACTCTTTTCTTGGACTTGGAAAGTTGTGCATCTAGAATGTTGTGTCTACAAATCTAAGTATCCAAGGTAGGTTCAAGTCAAAGGTTAAAATCTCCTGCCATGATCACTGCCCTTATTGAATTCCATTTTTGTGTCTGTTTTAGAAATTGGTGCTAGTGAGAGTTTATGCAATAAATATTAACCTGTGTGCATTCAACATTCAAGTACCTTTTAAGAGCAAGAATCTATCAAAATTCTTTGTTTTAATAGTAAAGGAAAGATCAGTCATTAATCCATTGGTAACTATTTTGGATTCATTATCAGGTAACTTACTGTACAAGCATTGTGGGAAAATTTGACATTTGTGACATGTGAGTCTCCTATAAAAATACAAATCTAGTTTTGAGCCAATGAAGCTCATGTAAACATTGGTATCTCTTTTTAGGACAGTTGAGGCTTCTTAGTTTATAAGAGGTGATGTTAGGCTTTGCCATGGATTTAAAGCACCAAAGTGGTATCACAAGGAAGGCTGATGAGATTGCAAGGGTGCCGGTGGTGGAAGGAGGGGGTTTTCGCAGAATACACCAAAATAGGAAAAGACATATCACAACAAACAACAAAAATTTTTCCAGAAACTAAGCCAGGCATAATTCTATAAGCACAGATTATGCTGGTGGCGTTAATCACCCATCTGTTACCCTGGGGGTGTTTGTCAGTGATTAGACACAAGCAAAAGAGCCCAACTTGTATAGGACACATGGTGATCAGCCCCAAAATAGAGTGTTTAACACACTTAAACAATGATAGTTAGCCTGGCATTGCATTCTCATAAAAAGAGGGAGTAACACTGGTGAACATGATATAATCCAAATAATGGATAACACTAAACCACTGTAATCATCAAAAAGAGGATACAATATAACTGCATAAAGTGATTAGAGACAGAGCCTTAGAAAACAACTGCTGGGGCCATTTCTACTGACTACATTTCTAAGGTTGAAACTTTAGCATTGAACCTTAAGCTGCCAAAATGTGCAGTGTAAATTTGAGTTTGCAGTTATGGATGTATTACCCCTATGCATCTACAGGACCATTACTTGTGTCTCAGAGGTGGTATTAAACGATTTGTCATATTAATTTTAGTGGTCAGAGATAAAGGGGTTAAGTGAAACCCCACGGATGGATCATATCTCAAAGCCTGGTTAAGGTGAGTAGGGCGAATACATTTGGATGGACAGACAATGTATAGCAAAGTGGTTCTTACCTCCAGTGTACAGGATTAGGTGGGTTTACTCATCAGTGGAGATGATAGGGTTTTGGAAAGAATGTGTTCCAGGGGCTGGTGTTTTGTGGGAAGTTGGAGGCTCTTCTGTCTATTTTGGAACAGACAGTGGATTGATGACCAATTTAGAACAGAAGTCCTGTAGTTCTTTTAGGAGTCGATTTTCCATCACTGCAACCACTAGACAAGAATTAAAATAAAAATCTAGAGATCAATCAAAATACATACAGGTGTGCTCTCACCCGAATGCATCTGATCTTACTACAAGAGCATGATCAGAATCCCCCTGAGGAAGCCATGTGACCCTGTGGCGTAATGCGTAGGGGAGGGGCATATGATGTTACGACGCTCCAGGATTAGATGCGAATGGTAACTATACTGATCTGATTCCGGATATGCACGATTGATGGCTCTATTGATTTTTATGCTTGATATGTGTGGTGCACTACAAGCACCTTTTTAATGTGAGGTATTTTCCTACGGTTTTGGGACAAACAAAGGTTGTTTTAAAACAATATAAGCACTATGTGGGCATTCTTTGTTCTCTCCCTTATATGATATGGCTGAACTGAGCAAGGGAAGAGAGAGATGGGATATTGGAACATATGGAATAGAGGAGAGGAGAGATTGGAGATATTTCTGGAAGTATGGTATCTGGTCCCTGTGGGACAAAAAAGTGCTTACTGATCATGCTCTTGTAGTAAGATCAGATGCATTCAGGTGAGAGCACACCTGGTGGGGGAAATCACAGTATTACACAGTAGAAGAGCATTGACTGGTGAGTTTCACTTAAATGATTAAGAAGACATTTTATGATTTGAAGCACTGGAAATACATTTGGGACTTTATTACAGAATTTTGTGTATGTGCATGCATATATTTTGAGTGATGTATTTTGATTGATCCCTACATTTTAGTTTTATTTTATTCATTTTTTATTACTCCATACACATTGTAGAATAGTAGGAGCGTGGCGCATTATTGGTATTAATTTTATGCATATTAATATATGGGATTGTGTTTGGTGTTAGCAGCTTTCAAAGTAGAAATAATTGTGTAGCAGTTCACAAAGTTTTCACATACTAGAAAAGCCCTGTTTGGGCAGAGAGGAGAGGGTTGACATGCAAAGGTGAGCAGAGAGAAGTGAGGGGTGCAAATGTTAGCAGGTAAGATTTAGAGTGCAAAAGTGATCAGAGAGAGGAGATTGGGATGTAGTGGATAGCAGGGGAGTGGGTTGAGTGTAGAGATGAGCAGAGAGGGCCAGTTTGGGGTGCAAAGGTGAGCAGAAGTAGGGGTATAGAGGTACGTAGAGGGGTTTTGTGTGTTGTGTGTGCTGAGGTGAGTGTTGGCAGGGGGAAGGGTTGGATGCAGATGTTGGTAGGTTGGATTTAGGGTGCAACAGTGAACAGAGACGAGGGATTGGGATGCAGAAGTTAGCAGGAGGCATTTGGGGTGCAAAAATGAGCAGAGAGGAGAATTGGATATAGAGGATAGCAGAGAGGGTGGGATGTACAGTAGAGCAGAAAGGGTGGGTTTGGTGGTCACAATAAATACCCCATTACATTGCTGGTTAATGTAAATGTCTCTGTTACATTGGTGGTTACTGTAAACATGTTATGTTGGTGATCATTATAAATTTTCCCATTACATTAATGGTCAGTGTAAATGACCTTACTATAGTGGTAGTCAGTGTAGAATTAATTCATTACTCTAATGGTCAGTTTAATGTCCCTGTTACATTGTTGTTCAGTGTAAATCTTCCCATTGCATTATATTTAGCATCGATGGGCAGTGTACATAAATACTCATTACATTTGTGGTCTGGGTAAAGGCTCTTTTACATTGGTGATTAGTATGAATGCTTCTGTTAAATTGGTGGTTGTGATAGAATCCATGCTATCATTGCTGGTCAGTATAAAACCCCCCTTACATTGGTAGTCAGTGTAAATCCTCCAATATTATGGTCATTAGTGTAGAATCACCCTTACATTGGTGGATAGTGGGAATCCCCTATTACATTGGTAGTCAGTGTATGGGGGTATATATACTGGAATTTTTACTAGTAATGGTGGCGATCAGCGACTTATAGCAGGACTGTGGCGAGCATTCTGACACTGGGTGGAACTGACCTGTTGTCACTGACATCCCCAGTGACACCAATACAGTGATCAGAGCTAATAAAAAGCACTGACACTGTACTAATGGCACTGGGCAGGAAGGGGTTAACATCTTGGGCAATCAAAGGGTTAACTGTGTGCTGTTTCACATTATGTGCTGTGTGTGTGCTTCGCTGTAAGCATACTTCTTTGTATGGCTCTGCTACGCAGGGCCATACAAATCAGTGTGCAGAAGCTGACAGGGGATTGAACTGTATTGTTTACATACAGTTCGCTCCTCCATCGGTAATACTCGGTGATCACCGGGTGCTGGTGAGTATTTCTGCTATAGGGAGGACAGGGAGCAGTTAAAAGAAAACATCATTAATGGTAAGTATAGTTTACATCATAGTATTAATCTCCATATCAAAACCACACTCACATGATATGTCCTCTAAGGAGGAATTGTAGGCTACTTGAGATCACCAGGATAGTGTGGCCAACCCCAATACCCAAAGGGGGTCAATAGTGGACCACAGGAGAAGATAATAGGGATAGTACTCCCACTCTATAAAGTAAAAAATACGCAAATGAGACTGTAATGTAATCATTTTGTAGAGGACAAAATTGCCTCTATGAAATGTTTCAAAACTTACTTTAAAATCAAGATAAGTGTGAACACAAGAGGATGCAGGAGTGGTTAATAATGGGGGTGCCTAAGTAGCACATCTTCCTGATGAAGATGTTCATTGCAAAATGCATTGAAGAAACATTTCACTAAGATTTATGAACAATCATGTTTGTCAAAAAATATGTACTTACTTTTTATTGGATAATTTAGGTCAATAACTGTGTAAATAGATGGTATATCATATGCTGGCAATAATGATCACACAGCTAGTTTAGGACGTTTTTAATGTATAATACAAGCCGTAATAAAATATGTTTTATACTTCAATGTGTTGAAATTGTTTGTGTATGGGGAGTGCAGGGAGGGGTTATACCTCTGGTGTAAGGGCAGGTCGTATCCTTTCAGGGCGACTTGCCCACCTTTGGTCCCCACCTGTCACTTAGCTCTCACCCGTGGCTCCTAGTAGCTGTAGCATGCGCAGCAGCCACACCCCGGGCAACAGCTTTGACAGGCTGGCCCAACTAGGTTGAGAGTAACCGTTGGGTCATTGATGTTCGGTGAGATAGGGACTTGTCTATCCCGAGCATGTGAAGACAGATTCCGGTGGATGAAACCTACTAGAATAGGACAACGCTCATGAAGGCAGTCTCCGCAAGTGATGTGGTATGCTAAGAGCACGGCAAGTCACAAAAGGCGCCCTGATCAAACACTGCACCCAGCCCATCTCCAACTGTCTCAGCTCTTGCCCTGCCATTGGAGCAAGGTGAAATCTGGGAAGAGATAGTGAGGCTGACTATGAGCACCTCTCCCACACTTTAATCCAATTTATGCACAAGTCTTGACATCTCCCAACTCCCATTAGAATTACATTGTAGAACATGTTTTGTTTTTCTTAATAAATGACTTTTTCTACAATGTCTGTGTCTTTCTTAGTCTTTTTTATGAATGGGTACTATTTACTTCTTACTCATTCACATGGGGAGCCGTGGCTGGATATCTGGGAGGCCCCTTTTTTCAAGGAGGCAACCAAATTCTAATAAGTCCCCCCAACAGACTTCCACGTTCACTGTGTCAGGGAAGTGGGAAGAAGGCCTTATTCCCATCAACATGGGGACAAGGTACCTGGCCTGAGAGAACCTGCTCTAATTCAGGAGGGGGGGGGTTATGTGCTCATTGCCCTCATTTTTCAGGCCAACCAGGCTGCACGTTCAAAGAATCTGGTATGGATTTTCAAGGGCACCCCATGCCTTGCTGTTGTGCTTTGCCTGGGCCCTCCCTAAAAATCCAAACCATAGTCCTATCTAGTATAAGGATCTTGTATAGATTTTTAATGACACCTACCTAGATGGCTGCTGAATGTCAGGAAACCAGCTGGGGATGCTAGTTGATGTCATTGAACACATATGGTCATGACTGTATAAAGTCAATGACGTTAACTGGGATCTTCCAGCTGCTTTGTTTACAAACAGAAGCAGAAGGGGAATGATTTAGAAGAAATAATTTTTTTAAATGTCACTTTTGCTTACGCGCATCATACAGGTGTGCCACTTTACTTGCAGGTTAAAGGCAACCCCCCAGCATTCCCCGTAAACCTTATTAAAAGACCTGCTCTACATTAAATTATGTTTTTACAAAAATGTTTTTTCATTGTTACATGCAACCATGGCAGTGCCCAGCTACCCATACCCTTTTACTTCCTCAAAGCTTGCAAATTAGTCTTGAAAAAGACCAGAAATAAATTCCAGGATTTGGTTTACAAAGACTTCAATTGGGTTCAGACTCTATATTCAGGGTTTAGGAATGCTTTCAAGCAGGGCTGGTGCTAGATTATTTTGCGCCCTAGGCAAGACAAGCTATTTGCACCCCCCAAAAAAAAAAAAAAAAAATAAAACTCCACCTGCAGTTCTGCTTCACCCCTCCTAGCACACATCCTCTTTCCCCTCAAATTTTCCACCCCAGTACAGAGCCTCTCCTCTAAATCCCCTCTTCTAGCACACATCCCCTTTAAATCCCTCCTCCTAGCACAACTCCCTCCAAATTACCCTTCCCAACACAAATCCTTTCTTCCCAACCAAATCTCTCCCTCCTAGCACAACCCTTCCCAGTCCCTCCACCTAGACCAAATTCCCCCCCCCAATCCCCCATCCTAGCACAAATCCCCCCAATCCCCTACTAGCACAAATCCCCCCAATCCCCCCTCCACCATTCCTCTTCCTTCAAATCCCCCACCTAGAACAAATTCCCCAAAATCCCTCTTCTAGCTACAAGCCCCCAAAATTACCCTTCTCCCAGCATAAAATCCTCCCACTTTACCCAAATCCCCCCCCCTCCCAACACCCCCCCCCAGCACAACCCTTCCCAGTCCCTCCACCTAGCACAATCCCCCCCATCCCCCTTCCTAACAGAAATCACTCCCAATCCTCCTCTGTTAGCAAAAATCCCTTCAAACACCTCTCCTAGCACAAATCCTACCCAATCCCCGTTCCTAGCAAAAATTTCCCCCCAATCCCCCCTCCTAGCACAAATCCCCTCAATCTCCTCTTCTAGCACAAATTTCCGAAGTCACCTCTCCAAGCACAAATTCCCCCACAATCCCCCATCCTATCACAAATCCCCCCAATCCTCCCCTTCCCAGCACCAATCCTCTTCCTTTAAACCCTCCCCAAATCCCTCTTCTAGCTACAAGCTCTCCAAATTACCCTTCCTAGCATAAAATCCTATCACCTTACCCACATCCCCCCCTTTTACACAAATCCCCCCCAAACCTCCCTCCTTCTCCTTGCACATATCCCTCCATTCCTTTTCCTAGCACAAATCCCCCCCCATCATCCTCATTATCCTTCCCAGCACAAATGGCCCCCATCCCCCCTCCTGCACAAACTTCTCATCTCAGAACAAATGATCGTTACCCCTCCTCCCTCCTTTCATTGTGTACAGTTTCCCTGGCCTGTAAGCTCCCCCATGAACTTACATGCTGGAAACCAGGTAGAGGTATGGGTTGTGCTGTGTTTTCACTCCTGTCAGTGGAGTAGTCCTCCATACAGCAGATGACACAGGATTGCTCTTGGATCAGACTATACACAGTTTGATTAATCTGCACCCTATCTCCTCCAATGACCACTCATTTTTCAGCAGCAGGGAGCTAGGGAATGAATCAAACACTGAACATGTGGATGTAAGAGTGATCCTGTGTCATCTGCTCTACTGACAGGAAGGGAGAGCACAGCCTGCAACTCCTGGCTCTCTCCTGTCAATTCTGCTTTGCAGGTTTCACTGCTCCAGTCTGCTCTTCCCTTGTCCCAGCCGTGAGTGCGGGGATGGTAGAAGGCACTCAGTGGCCAGGCACAGTGTCCATGGAAAGACCGGCCTAGGAGGGCACACCTGAAATCTGAGGGGACGTAGCCCACTCCAGCTCCCCCCTTAGACCCGGCTATGGTGGAGATTAGGGAACCAGTGGCTGTGGCTGTGCCCTAGTCAGCTGCCTAGTTTGCCTAGTGGTAGCACCAGCCCTGCTTTCAGGTGTATAGCAAACTTCCAGCGATCTGAGCTTTGCTCAGTTTGCTCATTACTAGTGGCCCAAAAAGGGCTTTTTTAGGGATGTCTCTGTGCTTATTTAACTTTTTAAATTCTTATTGTGATGGAGTAACAAATGTACCCTTACTTATTCACATAGGGGGAGAAATCTGGGGGATATATTATTTTTAAGGGGATTCCAGATTCCACAAAGTCCCCAACACCCCAAAGGACCTCACATCCACTGGGCCAGGGATGTGCAGGTAAGACCCTAGCCCCCATCAACATGGACATGGTATGGATTTTATGGCGGAACCCATGATGTTTTTTTTTTTTTTTTAGTGGGGTCTCCCTCAAAAGCCATACCAGGCCCGTATCCAGGATAAGGGTCTGCTATGGATTTTGAGGGGGGCTGCATGACATTTATTTCTTTAGAATATGTGGCCTGGTATACTTCGGGTGGGGGAGAGGGGGCAAATTAGTGTTTTACTTTTAACTGTAAAACAAGGCAGATTACTGGTTGTGGGCATTGTTAACATTTACATATTGTTTATACTGATAAAATATTGATTGTCTTAGTTTTTAATCATAGTTTCTGTCATATTTTAGGCTATCAGTAACATACGCTCTTTAATAGGTTTGACTTTTAGGATTGGAGACTTGTACCCCTAGTACCAACACAGCACCTGGAGGATGTAAGATAATTGGCACTCATCTTTTAGTGAAACTGCTTACTAGGACAAGACATTTCTAAAGAGTGTGGTAGATAATTCAGACACCCAGGGCTCTTTTGCATAGTCCATCTTTTAAACTTCCATACTGACAAAGAACCTTAAAACAAAAACCACTTTCTGCACCTTCAGACTTTCTCTGTTAATGGTCCACCATGATCCTCCTAAACGAAGCACCAGCCTCTCTGCAAGGATCCTCATCTCCAGGACCCTTCAGCAGTTGAAATCATGTTTCAACAGGCAGGCTTTCCTAGCTTAACATAGCTTTTATTGGTCACAGGCCTATCTGGATAGAAGAACACATACACCCTCCCCACGTCGAAACTCTATGGAAAGAGATTGGGGGATTTCAATAAAGCTGCTGAACAACTTTTTTGGCATTAACTGGTGTTGTTATTGTGTTGCGTCTAATTCAAGAAACATCTGAAAAAGTTTTGGTTCTGAGAGCAACTCATTCGCCATATTCAGGTA